AGGAATGCTTCCAGCACCTTGTTGAATCTATGCCACGAAGAATTGAGGCAGTTCTGAAGGCAAAAGGGGGTCCAACCCATTACTAGCGTGGTGTACCTAATAAAGTGGCCGGTGAGTGTATTTTATGAACTGTTGTGACTAGTTTGTGATTAAATTGATGATTTTGAGTACAGACTGGTCTGAGTGGTTATAATTATAGTTACACAGAGCAGGAGGTACTAACAGATTCATGCCTGAACACACCTTCAGCACTTCATTGAACCGTTGGTTTATCATTAAAACAGGAAGTTTGTATGAGGACCTGACTTTCAGCCGTAGGCTGGCCATTTATGATGACGCAATAAAAATAGGCGGAGTCAGGTCCTGAAGATGATGTTAAAGGCTCTGTCCAAAACAGTGGGCTGGGTCCTCTGAAGGCCGAATTCATCGGCCTCATACGTCACAGAACCGCGACGGAGGCCGTTTAAAACCGAAGACTCCTCCAATGCGGCCGACAAATACGTCCTTCCTTTGGCCTGAACCGAAGGACAGGTCCAATGGATCCTTCCCGGCCCAGCGTATCCCATAATGCATTGCAGCCCGACCAGAGATTTTTTTTATGTTGGTAATGGCGGACGAAGTGAGAGAAAAGAATATGTTTTAAATAAAACTGTGGTGGTATAAAATTTAAATTTTCTGGTGGTTGTGTTTCTAATACTTTTATCATTTGTATAGACGTGTTTTTAAATTCTACTTTTATCAGAAAAAAAAAACGCAAAATAAACATGCAGCTACGGTGGGACAATTAGTTCCTCAAATATTACCTTTAAGTTCTTTTTTGTTGTATTGAAATTTTTGTTTTTAATTGAAATGAATAAACTATTAAAAAATTAAAAAAGTTAATTTTATTGTTTCGTGATATTAATAACGCTAATATATTGATATTTTTCTAATTTCGATCTATTTTTGCTTCTGTTTAGCGTCATCACAGTTGCTACGCCACAGGACGTACGCCGGAGTAAGGATGGGAGGCTGGACCGTCCAAATTCACTGACACTTTTTTCCCGGTCTACCAAGGACRCGGCCCACCTCGACCGGGTAATAATAATAATCCATTAGTCTTATATAGCTCTTTTCGAGACCCTCAAAGATGCTTTGCAATAGTAGTAGTAGGGTAGTCTGGACCCTTCGGAGGACCCGGCCTGTTGTTTTGGACACAGCCTATGAAGTGACTTCCTGAATGGAGGGACTGAACGCAGACGAGCTACAGAGCTAACACACCTGCCTTCAGCCCGGTGCTGATGTGGTTGTTTAACTCTTTTCACATTCAAACATTCAACTATTGGTGTATTGTCTATCTGGTTAAGAACACATATTAAGGTAAACGAACACACCTAAACTCTTTTATTATCTTTCAAGTTCTTAAACAAAGAGGTGCATTGTGGGTATTTTACAAAACATTTCTTACTGCTTTACTGTAGTAAATTGAACTACAAGCTGAAACAAATATTCGGTCAGATTCTTGTCTAGTACCTGCAGAGGATGACAGATGACCTGGGGGTCCCATGTGACTGGAGGGGGTCACCCGGGCGATGCCACTGCAGGGTCGCTTCTCCATCTTCATCTCCCTGCTGAGGACCAGGAAACACAGATCAGGGAAAAACATCTGCATCAAACATCTGTCCTGATCTTACAGAAAAAAACAAAGTGGTTTCTTTTCTGTACAAATTACCTTACAGCTAATTAAATAAACCTTACAGTTCATTAAAACTATAAAAACAAAAAGTCAGTTCTTGTCCACCAGGGGGAGACATTTTCCAACTGTTTTGTCTCTCAGCTGAATATGAATATTAATTAGTCTAACAATTAAGATTTACATTTTTTTAAATGTACACATTTCAAGCTGCACAATATACGACTCATCCAAACCAGAGCACAATAATCTCGCCTCTGGATGAGACGTCAGACTTTCTTCACTCCCCAGATTCACAAGTGTAACGCTGCGTTCAAGGGATGTAAAAAGCTGGGATATCTGGGCTTCAGCAGATTTACCAGGTGATGGAAAGAAGCTTTGGATTGTTTGTGTGCGTCAGCGTATCAATTTATCTGAATACTTCCATTCACACATTTATCTGTCTGGAAAAACTGCAGGAGGAACTTTCCACTTTCATGGGTTTGGACAAACACCTGGCTGAAGACCTGCTGATGTTGGGAATGGAAACTTATCCATGCAGCGTGTGCAGAAGGCTGGAATCTGTGCGTTTTATTTTTGTCTTCTCACGACTTCCTGCTTGTTGAGAGCATCTCGTTTCTTCCAGAGGCCATCAGCTGGTTAAATATTGACGGTTTATGGTCTGAAGGTGCAGGATCCGTCCCAAATCAGCGTCTGATCTCTGCCTGGTGTTTAACAGAGTTAAACTTTGACCAAACAGATCAGATCTGAGAGGTGAAGCTGCTTGTTTACATCCAATAACTTCCAATGAACGAAACGGTCGTTATCAACGAGTGCTGAAAGGTTCATCCATCCATCATCCATCCATCCATCATTCATCCATCCATTCATTCATCCATCAACCCAAGGAACAACATTAGACCGAGTACTGAGCCTTGTGGAACACCATGCAATGTAGAGACAAACAAGAGAAACAACCCTACACCCTGTCACTTACTGTACATCTAATCAGTTTTACAGTCGTTGAGCTCAAATCTGGTGTGGTAGTAGCTGAGAGTCATTCACAACACAACTCTGAGTGAGACATTGTGAGCCAGTGAACAATTATTGAGGTTTGACCAAAACAATTAGAACTGAAACTTGGCAGGTAATATGCAAGAAATGCAATATAAGGAATTCCAGGTCTTTATTCAAACGTTCAGTCATCCCTGATCTGCAATAAGACTGCCACAAACGATTATTTTAATGATCGATTAATCACCGATTATTTATTCGATTAGTCGACTAATCAGATCATATGTTAATTGAATATAAAACATACAGCTTATCGTGTCAGAATGCAGCTGCTATTATATAACCATGGTTAGATTTTAGCTATATGCTAACTAAAAATAATTGCTGTGGAAGGTAAGTTCTGCTCTGCAGATATTACACAGGTTTCTCTTTCATTTTCTTAAAATGATCCCACACTTTGAGCTCTGTTGTCAGGTAGCCATGATACCAGAGCCTGTCTGTATAATGTCTTGTGACGTCCACGGCCTACCCCAGTTACCACTACTGTGCATGTGTGTCAAGGACAGAAAGGCAGATGTGGCAGTGGAAGGAGTCAAAGCAGTTTGGAGAGAAAAACTAAGTAAAGAACAACAACAAAAAAAAAAAAAAAAAGAAAACGATTAATTGATTATTAAATTAGTCATCGATTATTTTAATAATCGATTAGTCGTCGATTAATCGATTAATCGTGGCAGCCCTAATCTGCAACACTGAAATGTGAGGATTTTCTTTCTGCTAGTGGAGGTTTGAGAGCACACCAAGGCCCTTTCTGGACAGCTCCAGAGGTTCTGCTGGTGGAACGAATCCTTTCAGCTGGTTTGAGAATCACAGTGACACAAACATAACGGAGAAATTACAAATCTTTCCAGCTTACTCTGCTGATTTTTGGAGCTCCAGTTGGGTTTTGAGTTTCTTTTTTGCCCCCTGGGTCAGGTCGTACTTGTTGAGGTCCTCTTCCGTCAGCCCTAAAAACTGGGAGTGGTCCAGAGAAACCAGTCTGTTAGTTTATTTTTCAATCCACTCAACATAATCCGGATTAATCTGATGTAAACACGCAGTAAGACCCACCTCTTCCATAGTGAGCTGTTTGAAGACGGGGTAATATTTGTGCAGCCGAAGCCGGCGCAGCCAGTCCAGGATGCCGCTCTGCTCCGGAGAGCCGGGCTGGGAGTGGATCGGCGGGGCTGTTTGGGACGGGGAGCGGGGCTGGAGATGAGACAGGTGCAAAACGGGCTGGCTGCTGGTTTGCAGGTGAGGGTAAGGGGGCAGAGGGTAGGGGTGGTGCGTCTGGGAGGGGGCGTCGCCTCCCGCCGCCACCGCGGAGCTCCTTGTGGGGGCGGCGTGAGGCTGCGGGGGAGGAAGCGGGGGAGGCAGGAGGTGAGGAGTGGAGCGGGTCAGCACGGAGCTGTGGGTGCTGACGACGGGCTGAACGCTGGCCACCCTGTACACCGCCCTGAAAGAGGAGGGGAAAAAAGCCTCATCATCCCTGGAAACATGACTCAGCAGAAACATCAAGGCTCAAACAGGGTTGCCAGGAAATGATGAAATATCATGCTGATGCTTTAAAACTCCTGTATGTGCTGAGTGGGTGTGTGCTTTCATTGCCAACAGGTGATTAGGGGGCGGGGCATGAAAGATGAGGTGTTTTCTCATCATTATCTCATGAACCCTCAAACTTTCAGGTAAATATTATAGATCTGGCAACACTGAGCTGCATTAACAAAGAGTCCAAACTGAATGTCAGGTCTAGGGCTGGGCGGTATGACCTCAAACTCATATCAGGGTATAAACTGAATCTCTTCCTTCACAGTAATGGTATAAACTGCAGTAGAAAATGATCATAAAGCGCAAAGATAATGTAATTTTTAGAGCATTTATTTAGCAGAAAACTGTAATCATAATCAAACCCAGCATTTTTGCTGTAGTGCAAATGAACATAACAGCAATACAGAAGAAAAACGGTTTCAAAAACAAACAAAAACATTTCTCAAATTTTCAACAATTTCAAAATAAAGTGCAAGTTATAACCAGTACTTCAAGTAAAATTAGTCATTTAGACATAAAACATTCTAAATGGGCATAAGTTGTCTCAAATGTGTGACAGGACCTTAAGCTGCACATAGTCCTGTCATAAAAAACTATTTCAAATAAATGGAATGTAAGTGTGGTGAAGCCAAATAAATGTAATATCTGCCTGCCATACATGAGCTTCTGCCTGTTGAACTCTGCTGCTCTCAAAGCAGAAGCACGTTATATTAGCAAGATGGTTTTATGACTGAACGAACGTCCACATCTTTTTTACCACGTCTGTGGGTAACAGTGTGATGATGTAATGATGACAGGACGGTTAAGGGTAAATTTCTACCGTAGGCCAACTTCATATCGTTTCTACCATCGCATATACCACACAGCCCTAGTCAGGTCTCAGCTGGTCGTCAAAAGTTATCCCCAGCCTGAAATGAGCCTTACCTGTTGGCTCCTCTGTACTGCAGCATGCAGCCGAGACCTGAGGGAGAACCAACAAAAACATCATCAAACAGTTCAAAACTAAACTAAACATTTTTATGGTGCTCAGTGAGGGTCGGTGTGTCTGCAAAGACGAAGATAAAATACTGGTAGGAATACAAACACGTGTTCAAATTTCTTAAACACATAATAAAATTGTTTTTCTGGTTGATGTGGTCAGTCATCAGTGTCTAAAAACAGTATAATAAATTAGATTCACACATAATTAACAAATGTGATCTAATTAAATACTAATCTAGCTTCTAATTAAGCTGTCTGCTGCAGGTAAGATGCTGATAACTGATCCCTCTCCATCAAGAAGTGTCCCTTTAAGCCAAAGCTTGGCTGCAACGTCCCCCTCGAGTCCAAATCTGAGGAGCCAGATTAGTGTGTGCAGGGTGGACGGTCCCACATTGTGGTGAAGGGTGTGTTTCTGTGAAGCTGGACCCGTTCGCTCTGCTGCTCCCGAGAGTTTGGATCAAATTCACACACGCACACACACATGCTGCACAGGTGGCTATAAATACACACTGGGATGAAGTCACACACACACACACACACACACACACACACACACACACACACACACACACACACACACACACACACACACACACACACACACACACATCAACATGAGGTCACCACACTCTGTGCTTCCCAACACAAACAGGCCGCACCGAATTCCCACACCGGACAGAAATAGATCGGGTCCGCTCCCCGTGACACCTCAGAAATCACAGAGTGAAAGTCCTGCTGCAGTTCTCTCCTGTTGCCTCCTCTTGCCTCATCCCAAACGTCAAAACGTTCCCCCTCTGCTCCTACGGACAGATTTATTTCACCTCCTTGCTGCCATCTGCAGAAACTGCTTTTATGGACTCTGCTATCTGACACTGTAAAAGCATATCTGCAGATTTATGTCTCAGACTGTTTCACTTCTTCACGTCTCTTGTAGAATAAAAGGAGTCTTACTGGAGCTGGAAGTGAACGGGCAGGCTGGGGCTGCAGTGAGGGGCGATGACGGGGGAGACGAGGGACAGCCGGGGGACAGAGGCCCGTTGGAGGTGAAGAACAGCTGGACGGCAGGGAGCTGGACGACGTGGCCAGGCAGGGCTGGGACATACCTGGGTCAGGACAGATGCAGGCCGTGAAGTTTAACAAACAAAACAACGAGCGATTTGACATTTTCTGTGAAAACACAGCTCGACTGCTGGACGCTGAAACGGCTAACGAGTCCAAAACTCAAGCTAAAAGTAGCAAAACATTCAACAGAGATAATGAACATGGTGTTGGGCTCAGAGTATATGTTGGGGACAAATCTCAGCTACTACCACACCAGAGAAGAAGACTCAATTGGAGAGGCTAGCGACTAGCATGGATAAACTGGTGTTAGCATTGAAGAGGCTAGCAACTAGCATAGATAAGCTGTGTTAGCAGTGGAGAGACTAGAGACTAGCATAGATAAGCTGGTGTTAGCAGTGGAGAGACTAGAGACTAGCATAGATAAGCTGGTGTTAGCAGTGGAGAGACTAGAGACTAGCATAGATAAGCTGGTGTTAGCATTGGAGAGACTAGCGACTAGCATGGATAATCTAGTATTAGCACTGGAGGCTAGCGACTAGCATGGATAAGCTGGTGTTGGTAGTGGAGAGGCTAGCAACTAGCATGAATAATCTGGCATTAGCACTGGAGGCTAGCGACTAACATAGATAAGCTGGCATTATCACTGGAGAGGCTANGTGGAGAGGCTAGCAACTAGCATGAATAATCTGGCATTAGCACTGGAGGCTAGCGACTAACATAGATAAGCTGGCATTATCACTGGAGAGGCTAGCGACTAGCATGGATAAGCTGGTGTTAGCAGTGGAGAGGCTAGTAACTAGCATGGATAAGCTGGCATTAGCACTGGAGGCTAGCGATTAACATAGATAAGCTGGCATTATCACTGGAGAGGCTAGCAACTAGCAATGGATAAGCTGGCATTAGCACTGGAGGCTAGCGANGGAGGCTAGCGATTAACATAGATAAGCTGGCATTATCACTGGAGAGGCTAGCAACTAGCAATGGATAAGCTGGCATTAGCACTGGAGGCTAGCGACTAGCATGTATTAGCTGACATTAGCATCGGTTAGCATCGCTAATGCCAGCTTATCCATGCTAGTCGCTAGCCTCTATGATGCTAATACGAATAATGTCCTCATTTACCAGTGCCAGCCTCTCAGTTAGCGGGGCCAGCTGCTCAGTTAGCGGGGTCGGCCTATCATTAATCAGATCAATAACTGGCTTAGGAACAGATACAGTATAGCCTCCTGCTACAAGGATGTAAAAGCTGCTGGTTGTGCAGTAGTCTTAATTTTGTCCCTCATACTGTGTCAGAGCTCATATCAGTCAAACTGACTGTGTTAGCACCATGTTTGTTGGACTTTTGTAGTCAACTCTTCTCCAGCCACAACTTATTTTCAGCGATCAGCTGTAGATGAACTTCCAATGATCAGTTTGACAATTTTGATCAAATCTGTCCAGATTTTAAAAGTCACAGCTCTATTTTATAACATTTTAAATATTTTTTAAGATGTTAGAAAAATAAATTCTCTGAGGAATAATTAATCTTCTGTTACGCCTCACCTGCAGGAGTCACAAGGCTTTATGAGTGGAGGTGACTCACCTGGAGGTGACCTCTAAGGACTGAGGGAAGAACTTCTCCAGTCCTTCATCAGGAAACTCCTGCGACAGCTTACGGAGACACAGAAAAATATAAAAAGATACGCTGATGACACCATGCTTTATCGCTTAAGACAGTTGCTTTAAATTCCCCCTTATTTTTGTTGCTAGTTTAAATAATACAACAACAACAACCAACAAATACACAACTTACCTGAGAGATCAACTCTGCCACCTCCTGCTGGGTTTTGACCACAGTCGACACGAAACCATCAGAACAGCTGACCTGAAGGAGCCGATCAGAGAAAGGAGGAATCTCAGCCATGCAATAAAAAAATAAAAATTCAGAAACTTTACGGGTTTGAACCGACCTCAAACACATATTCTCTGGCGTCCTCTGACTTGTGCGTCACTCTTCTTAGCATCACCCGTTCTATCACTGCAGGGAGATGAACTTATCAGATCACAGACCACTGAACACGGGTCCAATATTAAAAACAGATGACTTTATGTGCCGCACTCTTTGGACTGATACGCTTAAAAGTCCCGAGGGGATATAAACATGTGGTTCAAAGGAGGAAGTTCAAAGGTCAGGACAGGGTTTTATTAGGCAAAGTTTAAAAAAATAGAGATCTTTGGAAATCCTCTGAATCTTGGTCAAAGTTTCCTCCAGATGCTGACATTTTCCAGCAAAACATCTCCTCAGTACATGTTGCAACACCTAAACAAAGAGACTAATACATATAAAAAAAACTAAACTAACTATCATTAAATTGTAAACAATATGAACTTAAAGAATGAAGAACAGAAAAGTTTTTTCAAACTCAAAAGGTTTTAGACAAATGCAATTATTTTTGCCTGTTTGTGTTTGTAATCTACCTCTTGAACCAGAGGACGTATTTTAATGAAACTCATGAAGTCATCGGAGCTACATCTACAGCTGTTTTTCATCTGAAGCTGACCCAGTCCAAAGCTAATCCACTTTATCTAACACAGACATGGCTTTAACTCCATTATTGAATTAAACGTTGGTTTAAAATAAAATTATTTGTCGGGCAAAAACTATTAATTTTTACATATTTGCAAATTTCAACTGTATTAATCGTCATCTCACATCTGTCTGTGGGTTTGTGCATAACTACTGAAAACTGTCAAAACCACCAGGTGAACTTGTGTCCAGCTGCGTTTTTTTGAAGATACTGTTGAATTTAAAGGGTAAATTTGATCAAATTGACAATAATTCATCACTAATTTCTACCACCTGTGTTAAAACCAAATGATCATATTCTTTGAGTGAGGCAAACCTCTGTAAGAAGAGATGGTCTGCTCCACAAACTCAAGGCCCAGGGGACAAATGCGGCCCACCACAGCCTTTTATGTGGCCCGCAAAAGCTTCAAAAATGTATCAATGTCTTAAAGAGGACCTATTATGGGTCCTAGAACAAGTTATACAGAACATGTTCATTTGATTTAATTCGCAAAATGAATCTCAGAGAGTGAGATTTCACATTTTCAGTTCTGCGTGCTCCGAGTTCTCTTCAGAACAAGCTGTTATGCAAATAAGGTGCTGTTGGTGACCCCCTCCCAACCTTTTGTTTACGTTAGCTCCGCCCTCCCAACATGGCATTCATGTTTGAACTTCAAAAACGTAGGCTGTGTCCAAAACAACAGGCCGGGTCCTCCGGAGGACCCAGACTACCCGGTCGAGGTGGTCCTCGGTAGACCGGAAAAAAGTGTTTGTGAATTTGGACAGTCTAGCCTCCCGTCCTTACCCCGGCTAGCAAACGTGATGACGCTAAACAGAGGCAAAATTAGATAAAAATTAGACAAAAATAAATATATTAGTGTTATTAATGTCACAAAACAATAACATTAACTTAAAGATAATATTTGAAGAACTAATGGACCCGCCGTAGGTGCATGTTTATTTCGTTATACAAGTTCTTTTTATGACAAAAATAATAATTAAAAACACGTCTGTACATACGATAAAAGTATTACAAACACAATTTCTTGAAAATTTTAATTTTTATACCACCATATTTTTATTTAAAACACTTTTTTTTCCTCTCGCTTCGTCCGCCATTACTAGCATAAAAAATCTCCAGTCAGGCTGCAATGCATTATGGGATATGCTGGGCCGGGAAGGATCCATCAGACCTGTCCTTCGATTCGGACCAAAGGAAGGARGTATTTGTCGGCCGCATCGGAGGAGTCTTCGGTTTTGGACGGCCGTTGTTGCGGCGCTGTGACGTATGCAATTTGGCCTTCGGAGGACCCGGCCACAGTGTGGCCACCGGCAGGGCTTGGTAGGGACAAACTGCAGCATCTGACCGAAGTCAGGCGCCTTGGTGCCGGGGGGGCAAACGCGTGTCCTTCGCCGATTCCTGGAGTCGGCGAAGACGAACCGAGCAGCAGCCAAGGTCTGCGACTCGCAGACCAGAGGCTCCCCTGAAACGAAGGCTGTGGCACAGGAGACTATGTATGGAACAATCCAGTTTTTTAAATGTATTTTATCAACTTGTCTTCTGAAGATGCTCTGTGTTGGAGGATCAGTGAATCTGTGTTCGACTACTCCACCTAGGCTGCAGAGTCGAGCACAGATCCACTGAGAAACTTGTGGTTTCAGTAACATTTCCTTTAAAAACTGGACTTTTGAGGTTAAATACATGTTCATAAGTAGTTTCAATAAATTATAAGTTAAGAAGGGCATGGACATTTTTCTTTTTTAAATCGAAAAAATATATAACCATGAGACTAAAGTACCGAACTGGATCGTGAATTCTCTGTATCGTTGCAGCCGTATTAAATAAAATGAAAAACAATTAGTTGGCTCTTTGAGGGCAGCCATGATGCTTATGTGGTCCTCGGTCAAAATGAGTGCGACCCCGCTGGTCAACTGGACAAAAGACGAGTTGAAATGATGAAAAATATGGGTTTAGAAAGATACGACTACACAGCTCTGTCTAACAGGACACCGGGCCGGGCCGGGCCGGGCCGGGCCGTGCCGTGTAGCAACAAGCTGCAGAGTCGGGTTTAAAAGAGTCACACATCCATCAACACCTTGCTGGGTGTTTGTTGGGCAGCAGCTGTGGAGGTTTTCTAAATAACACACACACACACGCACACACACACAATCACGCACACACACACAATCACACACACACACACACACACATACACACACAAAAAACCCACCGAGCTCAGAGGGGTGTGCTGACGAGGCACCACCCCGACTTTAATGCTTTTTACACCTCCAGTTAAGCCTGCCGTCATGCAACAAGTACAGATCGGTCCATTTCACCAGACCTGAGGTGGAGCACTGTTAAACACACAAACACACACACACACACACACACACACACACACACAC